TTCTATAAGGCAATGAATATTGCGGAGGGTGTGGCTCATCACATAAAGGTGTATAACATCTCAAGGGTTTCACCGATCACCACGCAACTTTGTAGGCATATGACCACACATAATCTGAGGGGACCCCTCCATTATTGACCCCATCAAACAAAATGGGGGCGCTAGAGAGCTAATTTCTTATCTAGGCCTAACCGCGATATGGATTTTTACTGAACTTGGTAGGTATGTTGAGCAGGACGCCTCAAGGTGACTGGAGAAATTTAACTCTAATTGGCAACTGGGTGGCGCTATAACAACAGAAAAATGCTTAAAAATGGCTAAAATGTGACCGACAATGTTTGGGTTTTTTTTTTCTAATTTTTGGTATAACTAAGTCATTGTATGGTATGCTGCACATAATCATGGAAACTGTCAGTGTGTCATTCTGTCTGTCCCATGTTTTTCTACTCACTGACATGGTCATTGGCATAGGTAGAAGGTGACAAAGCTACCAATGGGTATAGATTAGTAATAATTATTATTATTGTAATAGTAGGGGAGAGTTGCTATATTTGTAACATTTTTCACTCTTTTACTCAGAGATTTTTTACTTACATGGGTAATATTTTCAGACAAACATCCTATATGTGTCCAATATCAAAAACAACTTAAAATTCTTTGTTAAAGAAAACAAGTCGGGAGGAATTAAACCGAAAGTGGTTTTCTCCGGATACTCCGGCTTCCTCCCACAGTCCAAAGACATGCACATCAGGTTAATTGGTGACTCTAAAGTGGATGTACATGTGAGCATGAATGGTTGTCTGTCTCTGTGTGTCAGCCCTGTGATATTGCTTCATGTGATGGCAAAGTCATAAAGAAAAATGAAGAATGCAACAAACTGATAATAAATGTTCGGCTTTTTTTATTAATTTTATTTTTTTACTATCAAGCCCAAAGGGAGAGAGATACCATCATCAGAGGCCTGCGGTCATTTGCTGCATCCACCTGCATCCGCTTCACCCCTTTGAATGGACAGAGAGACTTTGTGGACATCCAGTCTCGCTCAGGGTATGGACCGCACAATGTACATACCACATATGCATGCATGCCTGAATGCACTCAAGAGTCAAAGTGTTATTTACTTCTCTCTTTCAGGTGTTTTTCATTTGTCGGCCGCCGTGGTAATGGCCAGGTAGTGTCTTTGAGTCGCCAGGGCTGTGTTTTCCAGCAGATCATCCAACATGAGCTGCTCCATGCCCTGGGCTTCAACCATGAGCAGACCCGGTCTGACAGGGACCAGAATGTTCAGATCCTGCTGCAGAACGTCATTCGTGGTGCGTCCAGACTTTCTTTATGTAGAATATACATGGAACCTTTGCGATACTGATGCAAAAGACATAAACAACCAAAACAGGGTCTTACACATACAACTGACTTTCATCACTTTTAAGGACAAATAAATAGATTTGAAACATAACTTGACATTATCATATCATTTTAACAGGTAGGTAGTGATGGGATGTGAACTGTGCGCTTATCATGCTCTCTAAAATGAGAAACCATATGTACGGGAATAGTGTTGTTTCCTGCAGATAAAACTCATCACACATTTCTTTCTTGACTGGCAAACTGTAATAAAACAGAGACTTGTGATCCCTTGCAGGAATGGAGTTCAATTTCAGGAGGATCCAAACGAGGAACCTTGGCACTCCCTATGACTACAACTCTGTCATGCACTATGGAAGGTAGCGTCTCAATTCACTCACCAAATTTAAAGTTCAAGGTCATGTTTACATTTGTGCGTGTGTGCGTGTGTTTTTGTGAGTGTGTATGTCTGTCCGCATCTGATCTCACAAACTACTGGACCAATCAGCCTAACATTTTGTGTGCACATGTATGATTCTCTGCTCAAGGACCTCTCGTGCTTGCAGTGATTCACAGTTGTTGAATAACCTGTTTAATTGACTGTTTCATATCGTCATTGATTGCTGACTCCTTACGCTTCTTAACTGACCAATAGGGGGCGTAAATTTTCTGTGAATTGGCCCAGCTAAACAAATCATGCAATACCGTCTACTGCAGGCCACAATTTGGCCTTTTTTTCATGGTGAAAAACTGACATCCAAAGAAAAGTTTGGTCTCATTTTAAACTTGAGTATCTGCAGATTATTTTTATACCTGATACGTTATAATTTGGATTTCCATTCATCAGGTGGACACAAACACAACTCCAAATAAATGATAATGTCCCTCTGTGTCTGCTGGATGTGTGAATCCACAATTGTTTGCTAACACACAAGCTGCAATGACTGAAAAAAGTTATACTATGTCAGATTACAGCTTGATTTTCAGTGGCCAACAGATTCTTAATACAGCTTTAAACTTGCAGACTGACCATACTTCAGCTCTCTGTAGTACAGGTGTACAGTTTAAACCTCTCATCACTGCTGTGTATTGGCACCATAGGTTCGCCTTCTCCAGGAACAGGCAGCCAACCATCGTTCCCATCCCCAACCCCAATGTAGCCATTGGTAGGGCCACCCAGATGAGTGCTACGGACATCCTTCGGGTGAACCGCCTTTACCGCTGCAGTAAGTACCTTTTTCAAACCTAGTCCTCCCCACCTAAACTTCCCACTTGTTTCTACATATACCTGCAGTATATTTCTCCTGAGCTACATAACATTTCACCTGTCTCCCTACCTGTCTCCTAACTGTTCTCTCTCATACTGTCTTCCCGCTCAGTCAGGCTGAACACGAAGATCAAAAACTATGTTCATTGTAGCCGTGCCATAAAGAAATCAAGCAGCATTTACAGACTTTGACGTTTTTTTTAATCCATGTCAGATACGGCTGCTTCCAGAAGCGACCCTGAACACAAGCAGAAGAATGATGTCCTCTGAATCAAAGTAAGTGGGTCGTGGGTTTGGATGTTTTTTTTGGAAATTGCTATGTACACACTATCCTCAGTGTGATGTAGAGAAGAGTTTCCATCGCTTTCATTTTTAGGAACTTTATTGATTTTTTTTTTTTTTAATTCTAAATGTTGTTTTGTGGCATTTTGCCACTGTAAGATAGTCACTGATCCAGACAGGAAACATTAATGTACATTTGTGCAGCCATGTTTCCTCTACGTCAAACATTGACCTATGATATTTATTTTTTTATTTATTTAACCCATTTTTAACCAGGTAAGTCCCTCTGACATCAATGATCTCTTTTTTCAAGGGAGACCCGGCCAAAACAGCAGCATACAAAAAAGTAACAGCAAAACATCCACGCAATAAAAAACATATTAGAACACCTACACACAATGACAAGACCCAACAGATTCATTCATCCTTGTTCTTATGTGAGCTTTAAAATCAGGCAGAGAGACCAGTTCACGTAGCTTCATGCACTAGGAATACACCTGTTAATACACCTGTTACTTCGAAACTTTATGTATGTGCTGTATGTATGTGTATGTGTATGTGTGTGTGTGTGTGTGCACATGTCCTGATATTCATTTAATATTCTTTTACAGTCTCCTCTTTTTCCAACAGATCAAGAGGAAATGAAGCCGATTGATGCATCTTTTTATCTACAAGCAAAATCAGAAACGCATCTTGTGCTTAATGAAAGTGATTAAATTTATTAATAAGATTGATTGATTGATTGATTGATTGATTGAAATTAACAAGTTGATTAAATGAGCTTTTGCGGCATACTAATGAGATGTGAAAAGCATCCTGATATATGTACACGTAGATGAATAACTGCTTGTGAGTCTGATTGAATGCGTATAATGAATAAAAATGTATATTCACATATCTCAACCTCAGCCAGTGTCTGTTTGCAACACACTTTGACCTGAAAAGAAATAAGTTGTACCAGTGTGACTAAAACAACAAGGCTTATTCTTTCATCTAGAGGCAGAACTCAGTGTGAACCAGGTGATCAGCAATATTCACACTTTCTGTCATTCTTACTGATGCAGAAAATCTTGTACTCTAGGTCACTCTTGGTTCATTTCGGTGAATAGAATAAACTCAATGAGTCTCAGTTGACACCCACGGCCTGTTGTTCAAAATACACTTCATGTGGCCGACCACACAATACTGGTTTATCAAGCAAGATCACTTTGCATTTTTTTGGCCACAGTTTGTAGAGATGAACCAAGCAGGACCTGAGCAAGTGGAACTATTTTGTTTTCTTACACACACATTAAACAAGCAAATGAACGGTTATCTAACGACAGACGTTTCCCTCTGGCCGACATGGCCACAGCAAAGAAGCATTAAGTTGACAGCGAGGGCTGCTGCTTTCAGGAGCAGTGGAAAATTGAATACTTTTTCACTGAAAGATGAAACAGTCGCTCGGTCTCATTCCTATGGGATTTTTATTTTGAGCGACATACTCGATGCAAGAAGCATTTTCATATTCGCTTATTTGGCCCCTATTTTTTAAAAAAGTTTGGACACAGTGGAGTCTGAGCATCCACAAGGTCCTCGTCTCACCGTATCTTAACCTTCAGAAACCCTGGAGTTCTCTTCACCTCTTCACTGTCTGCCTGCATGCAGACTGTGAAGGACTCCGAGGCCTCCAAAAATATCTAACCATGACCATAGATGCGTGCACATTCCTGGAGTTATTACTATTTGTGATGACTTATACATATGTTCACATTCAATAATTCTTCCAGGATACTCGCATTGTTGGCCTTCATGAACAGAGCCCAGTGAAGCTGCTTCATAAACACACACAGTTGATAAAACGTAGCACATACTGGAGATGATAAGCCTGTTTATGGCCTTGGTCTGAATGCCAGAATCAGCACATACACATATGTCCACCTGTGGGAATGAGTCTCAGTTTGATATTGAGAAGACGTAGGGTGAACAAAATAACAAATACTATCCTGTAAAAGATTTTACTATCCCATACAATACCTTTAATAAATACATTTGTTATAACAGGAGTTTATTTAACTATATGGCCATTTGTAGTGGTTTTTAATAGACTGTAAAGTGATCCTTTTATGTTGTCTGTCTTAATTGGGAGGGTGTGTTTCATTACGCTGCACAGGTGCTGCTTTTGTGTGAGGCATCATACTCCAACTTCACCTTTGTAATCATAGTACATAAATATGGTTTCATTCAAGGGTTCATGATGACAATAGAGGTCAACTGACACTCATCACACTTTTTAGCAACCCTGTGTTAAATGAATACAGGCCATGAAACTGTGACTTTTCCACATTAATTCATATGTTTCTGTCCCTGTATAGTGGTGAATGCATCAAGTGTCCTTTTTCCCACCCACAGTGGTATTGAGATGTTTCTGTCTATACACGTGTTCAAACCATATGTGACTGATAAGCCTGTGAGTTTAGCTGATTCTGAGCTTTCTTAGAACCCAGATAATCCATATTTGGGCTCACTGAAGCAGTTGAACGTATATAAAAACCTGGAGTGAAACCTCAGCTGCACAAGTCCACACAGAGGATCCAAGGTGAGTTCAGCTGCAGATGTCTGCAGCACAGTGTGATGGAGAAGTGTGCACGCTCTTTCAGCTGTCTTTTTTGGGGGGTTCAAACACTGTGTTTCCTCTGAGTTGAAGCTGATTCGTGTCTGTGTCCTGCAGATCTGCTGGTATGGCTCGCATGTCTGTTTTCAGGTTCTCAGCTCTGGCTCTGCTGCTGCTGCTGTCTGCCTGCTGTTGGGCTGACAATGAGGTAGGATCATAGTGGAAGAGAAACAGTTGCCAATGGAGGCAGAATGATTACTGGACATTTGCCATGTTGCATCATGTGGCACTTCCAGATGTTAAAAAATACCTGTTAAGCCTCAACTGCCACAGTCACAAACAGGAAACGACTCCTGTCTCACATATGAAGCTGCTCAACTTCTTCACATTTACATTATTTTTTTTTTTTTTTTTTAAGTTTTTATGCTTTATTTTAGCAGTATTTTGATAATGAACATGTGTCTTATAACTCCCTTATATAACAGTTTGAATATGAACATCCCACTTTGAGACACAGTATTTGGTTAACTGGCCAGAAAGTTCTTCTGTTAACTTTTAGCTGAAATTTTAACTCATGTTTTTCTCTCTGTTTCTCATATGTTTGTTTTCCCTCCTCTAATCCCATGCTGAACCTGCAGGCAGGTATGTAATGTATTCTAACAGTCAGACCTGATGTACTGACGTGCACAGTATTGTAACAAGTTTATTTTCACACAAAGTGAAATTGTGTTGATGTCACTGTGCAGAGGAGATTGCAGAGGAGGACTTAGGGGATCTGTCTGTCTCTGAACTTCTGGAGAGAGCCAACAGTAATCTGCGTGAGTGTGAGCTGCTGCAGTCACCATGTCTCCCATGAAAACTGCTGATATGTCACTATTGTCTCTTCTATTAGTAGCAGTTCAGCTGGTTTCTGAGTTGCTGTATGATGTGTTTCAGTCCGTTCTGATGATGGTCCCATCCTGACTGAGGGAGACGTCGTCATCGACAGCGAGACCGAGAGAAACGCCGACCCCTGCACCAGCCGTGGCTGCAAGTGGGGCAAATACACTGACGGAAAGGTCTACATTCCTTATTACATCGCCAGTCACTTCTGTAAGTGTCACACAGACGTCCAAATATGCTCTGTCCATATACAGTAGGCTTTCATTTTTAATGCAGCCTGTTGTAGCAGCAACTTTGACAAAAGGTTCGAGAGTGAGAGTGACCAGAGAGCTAACTGTTCATACACCAGAATCTAACAGACAGGGGCCTGTTTGATGCTCTGATGATATTAAACTCATTAATAGCAGCAGTCAGGTCCCCTGGAGTCACAACATGAATGACTAAAGCTGAAACAGATGTAAGACAAAAACAACAGTCAGCAAAAGGTCAAATCCAACACAGTAAGGATTCACTCAACCAATTAATTACAAACCACTGAGTCAGTCAAGACGCTTTCACTCATCAGTTATTTACTACCTCCTCTGCAGCAACACAACAAGTCACACAAGCTGTCAGAAACTCCTCTAAACTGAACTGGATTCAGACCAACATCAGTTTTCCTTGTGCCGAGTCTTGGTAAAAAGCTAACTGTTATGTGGTGTGGTCCTGCCAGCCTCCCGTGAGAAGGCCATCATCACCCGTGGACTGGAGTCTTTCTCTTCCTTCTCCTGCATCCGCTTCAGGCCCAGCAGGAGCAGCGACCGCGACTGGCTGAGCATCGAGTCCAAGGACGGGTAAGAGAGAGATGTTACACAATGAGTTTGAGTCGGAAGCTTTTCTCAGACTTCTGTGTTCTTCAACTCGTCTCTGATCCTGTCCAGGTGCTACTCCTACGTCGGCCGTCGTGGTGGTAAGCAGGTGGTGTCTCTGGCCCGTCGTGGATGCCTCTACCATGGAACCGTCCAGCACGAGCTGCTCCACGCTCTGGGCTTCAACCACGAACAGACCCGCAGTGACAGGGACAACCACATCAAAGTCCTGCTGCACAACGTTCAGTCTGGTAATGGAGCTGTTTATTATTCAGAGTGGAGTGTTAGAGAGGAGACCCAGGAAACTGTAGATGAGTCTATTCAGATAAGAGACACTGATATGATTTGTTTTCCTAAAAACATGCAGACCTGAAGTTTAATATTTAATGGATAAACCTTATGAACAAATACACTGAACATACAACCTTACAGACAGACAAGATTGTATCAGACAAAACAGAAGCTCATTGTGTGACTGCAGTTTTCCAAATATAAAACCATCAGATGTAGACTGGATTTTCTCCAGCAGCTGGACTCTTTTATGTCCAGAGTCAAAGTGAATTCAAACCAAACAAATGTCACTTTAAACTAATGCTATTCTTGTTTTTGTTTTTAGGAATGGAGCACAACTTCAGGAAGATCGCCACCCTGAACCAGGGCACTCCCTACGATTACAACTCTGTCATGCAGTACCACAAGTGAGAACAACTGGCTTCACTTCAGCCCTGCTCTGTGTCATCATATGTGTGTGTGTTGTGTGTGGAGGAAGTGCTGTGGTTCAGCCTAACTGCTGTGTGTCCTCTTGTAGGTACGCCTTCTCCAAGAACAACCAGCCCACCATGCTCCCCATCCCTAACAACAATGTGTCCTTTGGCAACGCTAAGGAGATGAGTCGCAACGACATCGCCAGGCTCAACACACTCTACGGCTGCTGTGAGTGTCCACATGAACACATTATGAATATATACACACACACGCTGCCTGTTACACTCAGATTGACCTAACCCACCTGTGTGCTGTTGACTGTTACAGAGGAAGCCCGTTCAGATGTGCTGACAGACAGATCAGAGGGAAGACTGAACAACAGAAGCTGCGGACTTCAACTCATCAGCACACCAGTCATGATCAAACTATAAAGTTACTCTGAGTGAAAAACATCGCTGTATTTTCATTCTTTATCACATCATTGCTTCTTTTCTTAAAGGTTAACTTAGAATATTCATGCAGTCATTTATGTATTCAGAGTAAGCAGCTGTTTGCTCACCTGCTGTGACGTCAAGTGTAATGATGACATGATAATGTTCCAGAGTTATAGAGTTAATATTAAAAAGAACGCCGAAGAGCTTAAATTTAGATCTTCTACAGTGTGTTCTTCTTAATCACAGCCATAATAATCCATCAAACTGAAGTGAATAAATAAAAGGGACATGTTTTTGTTAGGAAAATGCAAACAGGAGAACATGGGCAGAGAAGGAACTGTAAATCAACTGTTAAAGAAATTATCACTCAGTATAAGTATAAGTCAGTATAATAGCTTGTCAGACAGAGGTCTTAAAATGATGATAATACACATCTCCTAAATGAATTAACTCACCGAAGAGATTCTCTCTTATTGTCCGAGGCCTCACAGTCAAAAAATAAAATATATTCTGTAAAGAAAAATTGTAACACACACAGAAAATACTTTAGTAAACAGTGTCCTTTAAACACATTGTTCCTGGAGACTTTCCTTTTCAAAAACAGTTGATGAAATACATTTTGAGATGATACTAGGATATTATCTGTGCAACACATACATATTAGTAAACATATTTAAAGTAAAGACTGAGTATTCTGTAATAATAAGGAGGAATATTTGGTGCAGTTTCTTTAAATGTTCCCACTCTGCCATCTTCTGGAGAGACATCTCTACTTAGCTTCACTGTTGTCTTTGAACAAATAGAAATGTTTTTGCAGAATGACAGTGGCAACTCTTTACTGGATGATTGAAGCAAACTTCTCAGAAAGTTACACATTCACATATTAAGAATAATGAACTCCGAGCTAAATATAAAATTTGTTTTTGTACCTTTAGATGGTTCTAAAAGAATCCCAAAAGTCCCTAATTTTAGACAAAGTACCATGGAATGATGTCTTGTTTTATCCCCTGACCTATTGTTTCCTTGTTAACTACCTGAATGAAACTCAGAACTATTAGAATTATTTTTAATTCCTTTGCATTTACTACATGATCATAATTTAGAGTAAAGCAGAAGTGGGGCAAGAGCAATGGAGCATTGAAATAAAAGAAGGGTTGCTGTAATAAATTAAGATAAAAAATAAATAAAATAAATCATAGTTATTTTACAGTTATATCAGTGTAAAGTTTTTTTGTGATATTTAAAGGGAAAGTCAACAAAATACANATCTCAAGGGTTTCACCGATCACCACGCAACTTTGTAGGCATATGACCACACATAATCTGAGGGGACCCCTCCATTATTGACCCCATCAAACAAAATGGGGGCGCTAGAGAGCTAATTTCTTATCTAGGCCTAACCGCAATATAGATTTTTACTAAACTTGATAGATATGTAGAGCAGGACGCCTCAAGGTGACTGGAGAAATTTAACTCTAATTGGCAACTGGGTGGCGCTATAACAACAGAAAAATGCTTAAAAATGGCTAAAATGTGACCGACAATGTTTGGGTTTTTTTTTTCTAATTTTTGGTATAACTAAGTCATTGTATGGTATGCTGCACATAATCATGGAAACTGTCAGTGTGTCATTCTGTCTGTCCCATGTTTTTCTACTCACTGACATGGTCATTGGCATAGGTAGAAGGTGACAAAGCTACCAATGGGTATAGATTAGTAATAATTATTATTATTGTAATAGTAGGGGAGAGTTGCTATATTTGTAACATTTTTCACTCTTTTACTCAGAGATTTTTTACTTACATGGGTAATATTTTCAGACAAACATCCTATATGTGTCCAATATCAAAAACAACTTAAAATTCTTTGTTAAAGAAAACAAGTCGGGAGGAATTAAACCGAAAGTGGTTTTCTCAGGATACTCCGGCTTCCTCCCACAGTCCAAAGACATGCACATCAGGTTAATTGGTGACTCTAAAGTGGATGTACATGTGAGCATGAATGGTTGTCTGTCTCTGTGTGTCAGCCCTGTGATATTGCTTCATGTGATGGCAAAGTCATAAAGAAAAATGAAGAATGCAACAAACTGATAATAAATGTTCGGCTTTTTTTATTAATTTTATTTTTTTACTATCAAGCCCAAAGGGAGAGAGATACCATCATCAGAGGCCTGCGGTCATTTGCTGCATCCACCTGCATCCGCTTCACCCCTTTGAATGGACAGAGAGACTTTGTGGACATCCAGTCTCGCTCAGGGTATGGACCGCACAATGTACATACCACATATGCATGCATGCCTGAATGCACTCAAGAGTCAAAGTGTTATTTACTTCTCTCTTTCAGGTGTTTTTCATTTGTCGGCCGCCGTGGTAATGGCCAGGTAGTGTCTTTGAGTCGCCAGGGCTGTGTTTTCCAGCAGATCATCCAACATGAGCTGCTCCATGCCCTGGGCTTCAACCATGAGCAGACCCGGTCTGACAGGGACCAGAATGTTCAGATCCTGCTGCAGAACGTCATTCGTGGTGCGTCCAGACTTTCTTTATGTAGAATATACATGGAACCTTTGCGATACTGATGCAAAAGACATAAACAACCAAAACAGGGTCTTACACATACAACTGACTTTCATCACTTTTAAGGACAAATAAATAGATTTGAAACATAACTTGACATTATCATATCATTTTAACAGGTAGGTAGTGATGGGATGTGAACTGTGCGCTTATCATGCTCTCTAAAATGAGAAACCATATGTACGGGAATAGTGTTGTTTCCTGCAGATAAAACTCATCACACATTTCTTTCTTGACTGGCAAACTGTAATAAAACAGAGACTTGTGATCCCTTGCAGGAATGGAGTTCAATTTCAGGAGGATCCAAACGAGGAACCTTGGCACTCCCTATGACTACAACTCTGTCATGCACTATGGAAGGTAGCGTCTCAATTCACTCACCAAATTTAAAGTTCAAGGTCATGTTTACATTTGTGCGTGTGTGCGTGTGTTTTTGTGAGTGTGTATGTCTGTCCGCATCTGATCTCACAAACTACTGGACCAATCAGCCTAACATTTTGTGTGCACATGTATGATTCTCTGCTCAAGGACCTCTCGTGCTTGCAGTGATTCACAGTTGTTGAATAACCTGTTTAATTGACTGTTTCATATCGTCATTGATTGCTGACTCCTTACGCTTCTTAACTGACCAATAGGGGGCGTAAATTTTCTGTGAATTGGCCCAGCTAAACAAATCATGCAATACCGTCTACTGCAGGCCACAATTTGGCCTTTTTTTCATGGTGAAAAACTGACATCCAAAGAAAAGTTTGGTCTCATTTTAAACTTGAGTATCTGCAGATTATTTTTATACCTGATACGTTATAATTTGGATTTCCATTCATCAGGTGGACACAAACACAACTCCAAATAAATGATAATGTCCCTCTGTGTCTGCTGGATGTGTGAATCCACAATTGTTTGCTAACACACAAGCTGCAATGACTGAAAAAAGTTATACTATGTCAGATTACAGCTTGATTTTCAGTGGCCAACAGATTCTTAATACAGCTTTAAACTTGCAGACTGACCATACTTCAGCTCTCTGTAGTACAGGTGTACAGTTTAAACCTCTCATCACTGCTGTGTATTGGCACCATAGGTTCGCCTTCTCCAGGAACAGGCAGCCAACCATCGTTCCCATCCCCAACCCCAATGTAGCCATTGGTAGGGCCACCCAGATGAGTGCTACGGACATCCTTCGGGTGAACCGCCTTTACCGCTGCAGTAAGTACCTTTTTCAAACCTAGTCCTCCCCACCTAAACTTCCCACTTGTTTCTACATATACCTGCAGTATATTTCTCCTGAGCTACATAACATTTCACCTGTCTCCCTACCTGTCTCCTAACTGTTCTCTCTCATACTGTCTTCCCGCTCAGTCAGGCTGAACACGAAGATCAAAAACTATGTTCATTGTAGCCGTGCCATAAAGAAATCAAGCAGCATTTACAGACTTTGACGTTTTTTTTAATCCATGTCAGATACGGCTGCTTCCAGAAGCGACCCTGAACACAAGCAGAAGAATGATGTCCTCTGAATCAAAGTAAGTGGGTCGTGGGTTTGGATGTTTTTTTTGGAAATTGCTATGTACACACTATCCTCAGTGTGATGTAGAGAAGAGTTTCCATCGCTTTCATTTTTAGGAACTTTATTGATTTTTTTTTTTTTTAATTCTAAATGTTGTTTTGTGGCATTTTGCCACTGTAAGATAGTCACTGATCCAGACAGGAAACATTAATGTACATTTGTGCAGCCATGTTTCCTCTACGTCAAACATTGACCTATGATATTTATTTTTTTATTTATTTAACCCATTTTTAACCAGGTAAGTCCCTCTGACATCAATGATCTCTTTTTTCAAGGGAGACCCGGCCAAAACAGCAGCATACAAAAAAGTAACAGCAAAACATCCACGCAATAAAAAACATATTAGAACACCTACACACAATGACAAGACCCAACAGATTCATTCATCCTTGTTCTTATGTGAGCTTTAAAATCAGGCAGAGAGACCAGTTCACGTAGCTTCATGCACTAGGAATACACCTGTTAATACACCTGTTACTTCGAAACTTTATGTATGTGCTGTATGTATGTGTATGTGTATGTGTGTGTGTGTGTGTGCACATGTCCTGATATTCATTTAATATTCTTTTACAGTCTCCTCTTTTTCCAACAGATCAAGAGGAAATGAAGCCGATTGATGCATCTTTTTATCTACAAGCAAAATCAGAAACGCATCTTGTGCTTAATGAAAGTGATTAAATTTATTAATAAGATTGATTGATTGATTGATTGATTGATTGAAATTAACAAGTTGATTAAATGAGCTTTTGCGGCATACTAATGAGATGTGAAAAGCATCCTGATATATGTACACGTAGATGAATAACTGCTTGTGAGTCTGATTGAATGCGTATAATGAATAAAAATGTATATTCACATATCTCAACCTCAGCCAGTGTCTGTTTGCAACACACTTTGACCTGAAAAGAAATAAGTTGTACCAGTGTGACTAAAACAACAAGGCTTATTCTTTCATCTAGAGGCAGAACTCAGTGTGAACCAGGTGATCAGCAATATTCACACTTTCTGTCATTCTTACTGATGCAGAAAATCTTGTACTCTAGGTCACTCTTGGTTCATTTCGGTGAATAGAATAAACTCAATGAGTCTCAGTTGACACCCACGGCCTGTTGTTCAAAATACACTTCATGTGGCCGACCACACAATACTGGTTTATCAAGCAAGATCACTTTGCATTTTTTTGGCCACAGTTTGTAGAGATGAACCAAGCAGGACCTGAGCAAGTGGAACTATTTTGTTTTCTTACACACACATTAAACAAGCAAATGAACGGTTATCTAACGACAGACGTTTCCCTCTGGCCGACATGGCCACAGCAAAGAAGCATTAAGTTGACAGCGAGGGCTGCTGCTTTCAGGAGCAGTGGAAAATTGAATACTTTTTCACTGAAAGATGAAACAGTCGCTCGGTCTCATTCCTATGGGATTTTTATTTTGAGCGACATACTCGATGCAAGAAGCATTTTCATATTCGCTTATTTGGCCCCTATTTTTTAAAAAAGTTTGGACACAGTGGAGTCTGAGCATCCACAAGGTCCTCGTCTCACCGTATCTTAACCTTCAGAAACCCTGGAGTTCTCTTCACCTCTTCACTGTCTGCCTGCATGCAGACTGTGAAGGACTCCGAGGCCTCCAAAAATATCTAACCATGACCATAGATGCGTGCACATTCCTGGAGTTATTACTATTTGTGATGACTTATACATATGTTCACATTCAATAATTCTTCCAGGATACTCGCATTGTTGGCCTTCATGAACAGAGCCCAGTGAAGCTGCTTCATAAACACACACAGTTGATAAAACGTAGCACATACTGGAGATGATAAGCCTGTTTATGGCCTTGGTCTGAATGCCAGAATCAGCACATACACATATGTCCACCTGTGGGAATGAGTCTCAGTTTGATATTGAGAAGACGTAGGGTGAACAAAATAACAAATACTATCCTGTAAAAGATTTTACTATCCCATACAATACCTTTAATAAATACATTTGTTATAACAGGAGTTTATTTAACTATATGGCCATTTGTAGTGGTTTTTAATAGACTGTAAAGTGATCCTTTTATGTTGTCTGTCTTAATTGGGAGGGTGTGTTTCATTACGCTGCACAGGTGCTGCTTTTGTGTGAGGCATCATACTCCAACTTCACCTTTGTAATCATAGTACATAAATATGGTTTCATTCAAGGGTTCATGATGACAATAGAGGTCAACTGACACTCATCACACTTTTTAGCAACCCTGTGTTAAATGAATACAGGCCATGAAACTGTGACTTTTCCACATTAATTCATATGTTTCTGTCCCTGTATAGTGGTGAATGCATCAAGTGTCCTTTTTCCCACCCACAGTGGTATTGAGATGTTTCTGTCTATACACGTGTTCAAACCATATGTGACTGATAAGCCTGTGAGTTTAGCTGATTCTGAGCTTTCTTAGAACCCAGATAATCCATATTTGGGCTCACTGAAGCAGTTGAACGTATATAAAAACCTGGAGTGAAACCTCAGCTGCACAAGTCCACACAGAGGATCCAAGGTGAGTTCAGCTGCAGATGTCTGCAGCACAGTGTGATGGAGAAGTGTGCACGCTCTTTCAGCTGTCTTTTTTGGGGGGTTCAAACACTGTGTTTCCTCTGAGTTGAAGCTGATTCGTGTCTGTGTCCTGCAGATCTGCTGGTATGGCTCGCATGTCTGTTTTCAGGTTCTCAGCTCTGGCTCTGCTGCTGCTGCTGTCTGCCTGCTGTTGGGCTGACAATGAGGTAGGATCATAGTGGAAGAGAAACAGTTGCAAATGAAGGCAGAAATTACTGGACAATCGCCATGTTGCATCATGTTGCACTTCCAGATGTTAAAAAATACCTGTTAAGCCTCAACTGCCACAGTCACAAACAGGAAACGACTCCTGTCTCACATATGAAGCTGCTTAACTTCTTCACATTTACATTATTTTTTTTTTTTTTTAAGTTTTTATGCTTTATTTTAGCAGTATTTTGATAATGAACATGTGTCTTATAACTCCCTTATATAACAGTTTGAATATGAACATCCCACTTTGAGACACAGTATTTGGTTAACTGGCCAGAAAGTTCTTCTGTTAACTTTTAGCTGAAATTTTAACTCATGTTTTTCTCTCTGTTTCTCATATGTTTGTTTTCCCTCCTCTAATCCCATGCTGAACCTGCAGGCAGGTATGTAATGTATTCTAACAGTCAGACCTGATGTACTGACGTGCACAGTATTGTAACAAGTTTATTTTCACACAAAGTGAAATTGTGTTGATGTCACTGTGCAGAGGAGATTGCAGAGGAGGACTTAGGGGATCTGTCTGTCTCTGAACTTCTGGAGAGAGCCAACAGTAATCTGCGTGAGTGTGAGCTGCTGCAGTCACCATGTCTCCCATGAAAACTGCTGATATGTCACTATTGTCTCTTCTATTAGTAGCAGTTCAGCTGGTTTCTGAGTTGCTGTATGATGTGTTTCAGTCCGTTCTGATGATGGTCCCATCCTGACTGAGGGAGACGTCGTCATCGACAGCGAGACCGAGAGAAACGCCGACCCCTGCACCAGCCGTGGCTGCAAGTGGGGCAAATACACTGACGGAAAGGTCTACATTCCTTATTACATCGCCAGTCACTTCTGTAAGTGTCACACAGACGTCCAAATATGCTCTGTCCATATACAGTAGGCTTTCATTTTTAATGCAGCCTGTTGTAGCAGCAACTTTGACAAAAGGTTCGAGAGTGAGAGTGACCAGAGAGCTAACTGTTCATACACCAGAATCTAACAGACAGGGGCCTGTTTGATGCTCTGATGATATTAAACTCATTAATAGCAGCAGTCAGGTCCCCTGGAGTCACAACATGAATGACTAAAGCTGAAACAGATGTAAGACAAAAACAACAGTCAGCAAAAGGTCAAATCCAACACAGTAAGGATTCACTCAACCAATTAATTACAAACCACTGAGTCAGTCAAGACGCTTTCACTCATCAGTTATTTACTACCTCCTCTGCAGCAACACAACAAGTCACACAAGCTGTCAGAAACTCCTCTAAACTGAACTGGATTCAGACCAACATCAGTTTTCCTTGTGCCGAGTCTTGGTAAAAAGCTAACTGTTATGTGGTGTGGTCCTGCCAGCCTCCCGTGAGAAGGCCATCATCACCCGTGGACTGGAGTCTTTCTCTTCCTTCTCCTGCATCCGCTTCAGGCCCAGCAGGAGCAGCGACCGCGACTGGCTGAGCATCGAGTCCAAGGACGGGTAAGAGAGAGATGTTACACAATGAGTTTGAGTCGGAAGCTTTTCTCAGACTTCTGTGTTCTTCAACTCGTCTCTGATCCTGTCCAGGTGCTACTCCTACGTCGGCCGTCGTGGTGGTAAGCAGGTGGTGTCTCTGGCCCGTCGTGGATGCCTCTACCATGGAACCGTCCAGCACGAGCTGCTCCACGCTCTGGGCTTCAACCACGAACAGACCCGCAGTGACAGGGACAACCACATCAAAGTCCTGCTGCACAACGTTCAGTCTGGTAATGGAGCTGTTTATTATTCAGAGTGGAGTGTTAGAGAGGAGACCCAGGAAACTGTAGATGAGTCTATTCAGATAAGAGACACTGATATGATTTGTTTTCCTAAAAACATGCAGACCTGAAGTTTAATATTTAATGGATAAACCTTATGAACAAATACACTGAACATACAACCTTACAGACAGACAAGATTGTATCAGACAAAACAGAAGCTCATTGTGTGACTGCAGTTTTCCAAATATAAAACCATAAGATGTAGACTGGATTTTCTCCAGCAGATGGACTCTTTTATGTCCAGAGTCAAAGTGAATTCAAACCAAACAAATGTCACTTTAAACTAATGCTATTCTTGTTTTTGTTTTTAGGAATGGAGCACAACTTCAGGAAGATCGCCACCCTGAACCAGGGCACTCCCTACGATTACAACTCTGTCATGCAGTACCACAAGTGAGAACAACTGGCTTCACTTCAGCCCTGCTCTGTGTCATCATATGTGTGTGTGTTGTGTGTGGAGGAAGTGCTGTGGTTCAGCCTAACTGCTGTGTGTCCTCTTGTAGGTACGCCTTCTCCAAGAACAACCAGCCCACCATGCTCCCCATCCCTAACAACAATGTGTCCTTTGGCAACGCTAAAGAGATGAGTCGCAACGACATCGCCAGGCTCAACACACTCTACGGCTGCTGTGAGTGTCCACATGAACACATTATGAATATATACACACACACATGCTGCCTGTTACACTCAGTTTGACCTAACCCACCTGTGTGCTGTTGACTGTTACAGAGGAAGCCCGTTCAGATGTGCTGACAGACAGATCAGAGGGAAGACTGAACAACAGAAGCTGCGGACTTCAACTCATCAGCACACCAGTCATGATCAAACAATAAAGTTACTCTGAGTGAAATAAAAAACTGATTTCCCTGACTCATTCCCTTCTCAAGCCACTTTGAAAGCTCCATACATAACTGAATAACAGTGTGAAAATTTTCTGCTCAAACAAACCTCACACAAATATTTATAGTTTCTGGGAATCTGGTAGTTTCATTAAGCAAATGCAGATGAATTCTGAATATTGAGTGACTTTGTCTTATGTGTTGGTAAATTTATTTACCTTTACATTTTCTGAGGATATAGATCTACAGTAGATTACTACTACTTTTACACATGGACTACAACTTTCTTTTAGGATTTGGGGAGGTGAAATAGCTTTAAAGTTACACACTGGTTTTGTCAGTAGCTGTCCCTCCCCATATCACCACATTTCCTATAAAAAATTACTACAACTGACCTTTTGCTAAGCCCCGCCCCTTTGTAATGATCTGACAAGC